CACCTCTCTTCCAGGATCACTCTTGCCTTTAGTCATTGGGCACATTTTCCCGCCTCCTGCCCAGTCTTCCTGGGCTCTCTGTCATACTCCCTCGCCTAGTCTTTAACTGGTCTCTGATAACCCGATTTTTCCCCCATAATCTGTATTTGTGTTCAGGTCTCTATCCTCATCCCCAAATGGGTTCCACCCCACTTGCCCATCAGTCTCTGCCCATTTCTTCTGTCTCCCACAGACGCGGTCTGTGTAGTTGTTCTGCACACTACCTGTCCCCACCCCTTCTCGTTTCTCACTCCACAGACAGCTACAGGAGGGCTTCCATCATTTGTCCTCTTCCTTCCTTGTTAGAACTTTGTACTGCTGACCACCGCTCTGACCTGAAGCTTCTTTCCTGGCTTCTGAAAGTTGCTTTCTCCTCCAGAGGGTCTGTGTCTTCCTTCCAACTCTTAAACATTTTTGTTTCCCAGAATCCATCATTGGTCGTTGCTTTTTCACGTGCTGTGATTTCTGGGAATGAGATGGTTCCCACTGAAGACATTTACTTTTGATGATCTACAGAATTTCCCAAATCTGTGTCTCCAGACTGGATGTTTCTCATGTCTGTGGCCCACTGGGCATCTTCTGCACTTTCTCTGCATTTGTAAACACAGCCTGTATGCATGTCCGTGTGGCTATGGCCCTGGCCGTGGGGATGAACCCATAATTCTCATGAGAGCAAGCGAACATAGTGTGGCTGTGTGTCAGACATTGTTGTGAATGTTTTACGTGCATCAGCTCTTTCAACATTTACAGCATCTGTGTGTGGTAGTAATGCTGTTTCCTCCATTTTGCAGAGCAGAATATAGATAGGCTCGGGTTAAGAATGAGCCCAAGGTTACACAGTTACGTTTGGATTTAGGAATGGGAGGCCACATAGACTGGCTTCAGAATTCATGTCTTTAACCACTGTCTTGCTTCTCATATGGGGGGTTTGTTTTCTGGTCACCATTTTTACCGACGTTGATTCAACAGTGCTGTAATCTGTTGCTCTCATTTGACATCTTGGCTGTTTCTTCAGCTTGAGGAAAGTAAACCGAAGCCACTCTTTAATGAGTGCAATCTCCGTTGTAACTATGTAGAAAATACAGCATCTGGGTTTGAGGAAAGGGGAGTGGGAAAGGAGTAGAGAAGCGGTAAGACGTACATCTGGCGTTAGGAGTGTTTGAAGTGCCTGAAGAAGATCAGGGTGAATTTCCCAGACTTAAACCTTGTTGCCCAAGCCACATTGCAACCACCTCTGTTTCTCTTACCTCATCCGCACATCCAGCCACTGCCCCATTCTGTCATTCCACCTTTTTTTAGTAGACCCTCCATATATGTGTGTGTTTTGGTGAATGGCCACACACAGCAAAGCATTTTTATTGCAATTTTGTTGTTGTTGCTTGAGATGGAATGTCACACTCTGCCACCCAGACTGAAGTGCAGTGGTGCGATCTCAGTTCACTGCAACCTCCATCCCCCAAGGTTCAAGCAGTTCTCCTGCCTCAGCCTCCCAAGTAGCTGGGATTACAGGCCTGGGCCACCATACCCGGCTAATTTTTGTATTTTTTGTAGACTCGAGGTTTCACCACGTTGGCCAGGCTGGTCTTGCACTCCTGACCTCAGGTGATCCACCCACCTCGGCCTCCCGAAGTATTGGCATTACAGGCATGAGCCACTGCACCGGCCTTTATTGCAGTTTTTGGTTCCCTCACGGAATGTTTGCTACAAAGCTGTGCATATAGGTGGCACCATATATGACATACCTGACCTCAAAGATAATCTACTTGGGCTTTTTTTTTTTTTTTGGAGACGGAGTCTCCCTCTGTTACCCAGGCTGGAGTGCAGTGGTGCGATCTCAACTCACAGCACCCTCCGCCTCCCGGGTTCAAGTGATTCTCCTGCCTCAGCCTCCCAAAGTGCTGGGATTATAGGCGTGAACCACCACGCCCAGCCTACCTGGTCTTTTTTGGACAGATGTACATGATTTTAGAAATTGTTGTGAATGAGGATCCTCAAGAACACCCCCAGGTTTGACGATTTGCTGAGAAGACTCAGGTCTCAGCATTCTGTCATACTCAACAGCTATGATTTACTACAGCAAAAGAACACAAAGCGAATAGTAAAGGGAAGACTGAAATTCAGAGAAAACCAGGCACAATCTTTTGAGTCTTGTTTCAGAGAAGTCACAGGATGTGCCATATTTAAGTTCCATCTGGTACTTACAACAACACATGCTGTATGTCCACTGGGAAGCTTCTTAGAGACTCAGTGCCAGGGTTTTTATTGGGCATGTTTTCTGGCACATCCCACAATTCTGGACTTCCAGAAGGTTAGCAGGGGTTCAGCTTTTCAGCTGGAAAGGGGATAACCTTTTCAGCTGGGGACCGGGTCAGCTGGAAAGGGGATAACCTTTTCAGCTGGGGACCGGGAGAAAAAGCACCGAAAAACAGGACACTGTGCTACTCCTGTTTTGGGTGGGTGGAGCAGTAGTAAACCTCCCAAAATCTAAGGTCCCACACTCCAGCAAGGGTGAACCTTGCAAACTGAAAAAGGATAGCAGTCTCCAACCTGCTGTTTTATACAGTGAGTTAAATGGTACTAAAATACTATATAAGTCAAATTTATGTAACATTAAGCAAATAATCTTTTTTTTCAGCAAAAAAATAATGGTCATGACTTTGTGGTGAAGGCTTACATAATGATTATAATAAATTCAGGCCGGACGCGGTGGCTCACGCCTGTAATCCCAGCACTTTTGGGAGGCCGAGGCAGGTGGATCACTTAAGGTCAGGAGTTTGAGACCATCCTAGCCAACATGGCAAAATCAGGTCTCTACAAAAGTGAAAAATTAGCCGGGCGTGGTGGTGCATGCCTGTAGTCCCAGCTACTTGGGAGGCTGAGGCAAGAAAATGACTTGAACCTGGGAGGCGGAGCTTGCAGTGAGCCGAGATCATGCCACTGCACTCCAGCCTGGGTGACAGAGTGAGACTCTGTCTCAAAAAAAAAAAAAAAAAAATCCTCCTTTCCTCAGTTTTGTTAAGAGGAAAAAGAAAATCTTAAGTTACAGTGGAAGTTATGAACAACTTAGTCTAGAGATTTAATTTAGTGATGAAAAGGTACAGAGAAAGTCTTTTAAAAAAGGACCTGGTCTGCTCGCTTGCTCGCTCGCTCTCTCTATATGTGTGTGTGTGTGTGTGTGTGTGTGTGTATGCATGTGTTTATATGGACCACTTCAAGATATATATATACACACACACACATGTGTATGAATATATATATATATATGGCTACAAGTGGTGCAACTTGCAGGTACTCCCTTTGTTCACCTTTGTAAAGATGTTATTGCCAGATCAATGTGTATTTCTATAGTATATGTGTAAACAATTCGTCATCCTTTTGTTGCTGCTTTTGAAACTAGTTCATGGCTTCATTGGGGAGAGATTTAAATAATATGGGTTTATAATAATTTCTGCATTATTAAATGCAGATAACTTGCGATTAAAGAGTATGTTATTGGAATCATGGGTGTCTGAGTTTTACTTTGGAGGAGCTGAACAGCTGACTCCAGCCGAGAGGTCCCCTACAGAGACGGGATGCTGGAGACCCATGGGAATCTGGCTCGTGGGAATTGCATAGCACCCTTTTTTATCATACTGCAGCATGGCCTTCCTGTCTCAATTGTGGGAAGCTGGAGTGCCTCCGGAATGCTCAGTGGTGTCCTTGGGGTTTGAGGGTTAAAGATTTTTAATCTTTGCCACAGGCATGTTACACATCTTAAAATTGTGTGATCTCAACTGAACTGCTCCAAGGAGAAGAAATACCCTCTTCAGTAAGTGTTATGAGCCCTGGGCCTTGTGTTGACTGGCCAGGTGATTTTAATGAACTTCTGTCACCCAGGCTGGAGTGCAGCAGTGCATTCGTAGCTCACTGCAGCCTCAATCTCCTGGGCTCGGGTGATCCTCCCACCTCAACCTCCTGAGTAGCTGGGATTACAGGTGCTTGCCACCATGCCCCACTGATTTTTTTTTTTTTTTTTTAATCTAGAGATGAGATCTGTGTTACCCAGTCTGGTTTCAAACTCCTGAGCTCAAGTGGTCCTCCTGCCTCAGCCTCCCAAAGTGCTGGGATTACAGGCATGAGCTACCTCGCCTGGCTCAGCATGTGTTTTTATTCTGATGTTTTGACAAATGGGACCTTGCTGATCTTGGCTCACTGCAACCTCCGCTTCCCGGGTTCAAGCGATTCTCCTGCTTCAGCCTCTCGAGTAGGTGGGATTACACGCATGCGCCACCACACCTAATTTTTGTAGTAAGAGACGGGGTTTCGCCCTGTTGGCCAGGCTGGTCTCGAACTGGTGATCTCAAGTGATCCACCCGCCTCGGCCTCCCAAAGTGCTGGGATTACAGGCGTGAGTCACCATGCCAGGCCTTCAATTATATTTCTGCAAGATCTGTTCCCTGTCTAAAAGAATTCAATTTTAAATGTTTTTGAAACTTATGTGTTTGCTAAACAAATAAATACGTGGGGGCTGATTTTACGATCTAAGGCCAAAACCACAAACTGATTACAGGGTCCAACAAATACTTGGCGAGTGGGAGGAGAGGGGTAAGTGAGCTGGGCTCGTGGCGTCCTGGCTGTAAGCAGGCATAGCCACAGGCTTCAGGGAGCCCCATCGCGGTGACCCTGAAGAGTGGCCTGAATCAGACGTGACCTTGAAGCAAGGTGGTTTTGGGGTCGCGGGCTGCACGAGGAGGCGCGAGGTGGTTTAGGGTCGCGGGCTGCACAAGGCTCCAGCATGTCAGGAGTGGGCGTCTGTTCATTCTCACGTGCATCGCGGCTCTTTCCTAGGTGATGCATGCGCACCCCGTGGGTGTATGCATTGTTCATGCTCTCTGGCCCGCTCCCATCACCGCCTCGCCGCACCCTCTGCCTCCTTCCTTCTCGGGCCTCACCCCTGGGCCTCGCTTTCAGGGCCCAGCCCCGGCCTGCGCGCTCCAGTTCCGCCCCGACCCGGGGGCCCTGGGCGGAGACTCCCATTTCTGTCTTTTCTATTGGGCGCACTTCCGATGGCGTCAGGAATTTCAGCCAATGGGAGTCAGCCAGGAAGTACCTATCTAGGCGGGCCGCGCCGGGTATAAAAGAAGGCCGCGCAGCCGCTGCTGCTCACGACGCCGCGGATACCCGAGCCTGTGTGTGTCTTGGACCTCAGTGAGGCCGCAGGACGAGCAGGATTGGAAGCGCATCAGCCAGAAAGTGACCTCCAACCCCTTTCAGGACCCTGTGAAAGGGAACAGCCATCCAGAGGGCTCAGGAAGGCGTCCGCGCCGTCACCTCTTCTCCCCATGAGCTCCCCCAAAGCTGCGGTGCAGTTGGGCAGAGCTCAGCCTGCAGGCGAAGCAGGTGAGAGCCAGCGCCGGAGAAAGGACGCGGGGAAGGCTGGGGACTGGGTCGGGTGCGCAGAAGACACATCTGTTGACATCTCCCTTCCCATCCCTTTCCTTTCCTACCCACTCCCTCCCTTCCCTTCCATTCTTTCTCTCACCTCTCCCTCCCCTACTCTGCCCTCCCCTTCCTTTCTCTCTGCCTCTTCACCTCTCCCTCCCCTCCCTCCCTTACCTTACTTTTTCTTCTAACCCCTTACCTCTCCCTCCGCCTCTCCCCGCCTTCTCTCCCCCTGCCTTCCCCTTCCCTCTCTTTTTCTCTTCCCCTTCTTCCCCTCACCTCTCGCTCCCTCTTCCCTCCTCTACTGTTCTCCCCTTTCTCCCTCCTCTACCGTTCCCCTCCCCTCTCTTTGTCTCACCTTCTCCTTCCCTCCCCTCTCCTTTCCTCTCTTTCAGTGACTGCAGCAAACCCAGCAGCCCAGCAGCCCAGCGGCCCCGCCACGTGAGCCCCTTGGGTTTGGTATCTGGAAAAGGAAGGGAGGTGGGACGTGGGGATGAAGGACAGGCTGGGTGTGTGGGGTGCTGGCTCCTGGGACCGAGAACTACTGTCCCGAGGAACATAGGACTAGGCCCGTGTGAGAAGGGAAAGCGGCAGAGGAACGATACAGTGAAAGAGGAAGGAAAGCGTTGGGGTCCCTGACTGTCCCTCCACCTACCCTACCTCCTAAGCTGAGGCTCTTTTCTTCCTCTCCTCTCAGGCGGCGCCTCACAATCGATGACTTTGAAATCGGGCGTCCCCTGGGCAAGGGGAAATTTGGGAATGTGTACCTGGCTCGGCTCAAGGAAAGCCATTTCATTGTGGCCCTGAAGGTTCTCTTCAAGTCGCAGATAGAGAAGGAAGGGCTGGAGCACCAGCTGCGCCGGGAAATTGAGATCCAGGCGCATCTACAGTAAGGACAGTCTCTGCTTCCTCTTTCATCTTTGACGTCAGAGCCCAGCATTTTCCCCAGATACTAACCCCAAGTAAACCCTTCACTTATACCTGAAGCCTGTTCTCTGCAGCTCATTCCATTTACACTACCTCCCATCCTGGGTCAGACAGTTGAATCCTGGTTCTTGTTCTCTGTTTTCCCCTCACTCGCTCCCAGATAGGGCTGTTGTTATTCTGGTCCCAGCATAATTTGCCAGTTGTGTGACCAGGCAGTGACAGTGGCATCATATGATAGGCCTCAGGGAGAAATCTGACTCTTCCAACATTAATCCTTCAGACACCCCAATATCCTGCGCCTGTATAACTATTTCCATGATGCACGCCGGGTGTACCTGATTCTGGAATATGCTCCGAGGGGGGAGCTCTACAAGGAGCTGCAGAAAAGTGAGAAATTAGATGAACAGCGCACAGCCACGGTGAGGTGGGGGACTGGAGGCTCTGGGGTCTATGAGTTTATTGTGGGCTGGTGGGAGCTCTGTTTGTGGCTGTCAGGAGGGTCCGGATTGCCTTTTGAAAAGTTTACTTTCATCCTTGGATACCCTAATTAACCTCATTGTATCTCCAGAATATTAAGAAGTACTGTGTATAGGTTTGGATTCTTTGGTTGTAAGCAACAGAATCTAACTCCACTGCCTTATGTAAAGAAACATATTGAAAGCCTGTGAAGGAGTTCACTGAATAAACAGCTAGAACTGGCTTAGAGATAGGTACAAAGAGATTTCTAGAGGGTGCCGGAAAGGGAATCATGGCAATGATCTTCCCAGCAGCAATGGTCCAGTCAGCTTGCTCTGCCAGGACGAGTGGTCTTCCATCTTTCCTCCTGTTTCTGTTTCCTTTCCTCAGGCCTCAAGTCCTGTAAGAGATCATCTGAGTGGCTCAGTGTAGGTTCTGTATCTGGCTACTTGCTGTGCTAGGACAACAGGGAGGATCTGTGTCCATTTTACCATCCATCCTATAAGACCACATAAAAAGGAGAGGAAATCCACACCCCACACACCAGTAACTGGTGCAATTGGTTGCTGGACCAAAAAGATTCCACTGCAATCATTCGATTCATGATGAGTGTTCCACCTCAGATGGAAATTGTGGCAGGCTTCACTTTCAGGGTGACTTTTCTTTGCACTCACAGATAATAGAGGAGTTGGCAGACGCCCTGACCTACTGCCATGAGAAGAAAGTGATTCACAGAGACATTAAGCCAGAGAACCTACTGCTGGGGTTCAGGGGTGAGGTGAAGATTGCAGATTTTGGCTGGTCTGTGCACACCCCCTCCCTGAGGTAAGTCAGGTGGTGGTGGTAGGGTGAGTTCTGAGTACCAGTTAGGAATGACCCAATTTAATGTATTTCATGTGTCCATATGTAAAACCTAGATACGAACTTGGGGTTTGTATTGGAATACTGCCTTTTTCTTTTTTTTTTTTTTTTTGAGACGGAGTCTCACTCTTTCACCCAGGCTAGAGTGCAGGGGCACAATCTCGGCCTCCCAGGTTAAAGCGGTTCTCCTACCTCAGTCTCCCAAGTAGCTGGGATAACAGGCATGTGCCACCACACCCAGGTAATCTTTGTATTTTTAGTAGAGATGGGGTTTTGCTATGTTGGCCAGGCTAGTCTCGAACTCCTGACCTTAGGTGATCCGCCCACCTTGGCTTCC